TTGGGTATTGTAACGTAGTGTTCTCATATGGGTTAGGAGGAATGTTATCCCAGGAAATTGATAGAACACTACGTTACACACCACTAAAATTTTTTTGGACAATATTTACTTTTTTATATTGTAGTATTAAAAAATACATACATCCCTAAATTTCTCTTCTATTACCTGCCCCTATTTTTATGGCGGTACGAAGTTCGCTGGGTCAGCTAGTAATTATATTTTTTTATTTTGTATTGTACAAAACAGAGTTACAGCAATAAAATGGTATAAGATACCAAGAAATTCAATTGATAAAGATATACTGATCTCCACTAGCATGTCGTCATAATACGTTGGGCTCTATAAAGAAGCGTGTGTGCATATTAGTTATGGCATCTACCCATATTGGGGTACCATATAGTGCCATTGAGCGGACCACGTTAAGGTATAAGAGACGGCATATCTCACGCCCTCCTCCAAGGTTCGGTAGCAAGCAAGTCAAGCAACTTAGTGTGACTGCCATGCAGATTCATGACAAACACCATGCTTATTCAAGTAACAGTACTATTAAACATTCAAGCATTCAATTTTTTATTTATTAATAATTACAATAACATTAACTTATTCAAAATCTAACTGCTTAAGTTTGTAGGTTTTGACATTGAACGTAGCCACTCTCACAGCCGCCACAAGCCACAACAGATGTTTCGCGTCAAGTACGATTCGGTTGTGTACACACACAGTATACGTTTTCCACGTGTTATGGCCCACCTGTACCCTTAGTACGAGTTTGAGCTCACGAAAACTATCATAGTTTTCGTGATTGTAAATTATTAAATAAAACTAGTTTTTTACGGGTTAATGCACGAAACTTTATTTATTTATTGGCGTTTCGTAGCCTTTACAGGCTACGTCGTCGGTTTTTTTTTGTGTTTTATTTTTTTTTATAATAAAAATTTGATTCCGACGACGTAGCCTGTAAAGGCTACGAAACGTCAATAAATAAATAAAGTTTCGTGCATTAACCCGTAAGAAACTAGTTTTATTTAATGAGTGATGTGCGTGAAAACCTAAGAAATTGTAAATTATGTTTCTATGTCCATTTTGGTGAAAAGTAACCAAATATACTTAAAATTTAAGAAGACACAAATGATACAAATGATTTAATGATAGAATTTAAACACTGTTTATAAGATAAGATAAGATAAGATAATAATACTTTATTGCACAACAGTAACATAAATAACACGAATAAAATACAAATACAAGGCAAAACAATCACAGTTGCACAAAGGGCGGTCTTATCGCTAACCAGCGATTTCTTCCAGACAACCCAATGAGCTGGAAAAAGTAGAAAGCACGATAATAATAATGAGGGAGGTTGTGCGGAAAACAAGACAAAAGTTTTGTAAGTAATCAATTGAAATTAATTAAAATAAACGCAAACCAAACATATAGGCATACACAAACATTCACACATATCGCAGTATAATGCAACAATACTACTACCGTAGCAATATTTTAATGAGAATTATGCTCATCTGACAAGAAATGCTCCTTAACTAGGGATTTGAAACAGGCTAGAGTTTGGGCACGCCTAATCTTTTCCGGCAGAGAATTCCATAGGCTGTTTATTTGTATTGCAACGAAAACAATAAAATCAGTACCCTTAGTACGAGTGCGAGCTCACGAAAACTATCATAGTTTTCGTTATTGTAATACTCGTACTGAGGGTACTGATGGTAAACAGCCACCGATAGACGCTTGCGATACTAACTAAAAATATATATGTATGTGACTGACTTTAGAGCTCTGATTCTCTCCCCTACGCCGTGGAGCTCTAATCAAAATCATTTATTCAGTTTAGGCTGTAACAAGAACCCATGAATGTCTAGAAGCTACGCCATAGGTTCGTAAATCTACGGCGGGAGACCTTGTACTGCGAAGACCCAGCAAGAAACTCAGCAAGGGCTGCTTTTTTCTCCCTGTTTTATTATTAACAATACAACGTCAAGTTGAAAAATTACTTCGGAGATGATTCATGAAGTCACCTTTCATTACATAATGATTAAATATACATTAATTGTTTACCTGCATTTTGATTGCTGTGTCATACAGTTTAAATACAAATAGTGTTATTTATATTAACTCTGACGACCTTAATCACTACAGCAAAACCACACTAAAATAATTGTGTTATTATTATTATTACTATAGTCTTCAGGAAGGTAGAAGTTACTCCGACAAGACAGGCGTATAATTTATTTATTTTTTTAATTTTTGGGAGACCAGGTCATAAAAAAATAGTTGAAGAAAAAAATTTGTTATAGTAGGCCAATTACAGGTCTCCACGTTTAAAAACACAAATCTTTAAACCTTGACATATAAAAATAATTAAAAATTAAAAAACGTGTGGACAAAATAATAGGATTGGTCTACATAGTAAAGACGGTTCGCCCTGTTAACAATGTTAAACTATTAATGATTAACAATGTTACATAATTAATATAAGAACATATATTAATAGCAAATTGATGTTATTATTTAGTTTTAGTTCTAAATTGTAAGTGTATACATAATATACTATCACAACACCTGTTCAAAAAATTCACTGCATAGAAGACGACTTGCAGTTGCTACACTAGAATTGAATATAAACAAAGTCTTTTCTAGACTTGCAAAATTCATTCAGTGTAATGGTCCACAAATATAATAAAGAGGACAATTCCTCCCCTGCACATGAAATACTAGGAACATTTGAAATGGTACAAAAAATCATCAAATATTCATGTCCATAGTGAAAACCATAAATAATGTGATCAATTCGATACGAATGAACTTGGCTGTTCTAATTTTTATTTTCAACTTGTAATAACTAAACGTAACTGATGTAGGTAAGGTGCAACAGTTAACGTCCTCAAAGCGAGGACGCCCGGAACTATGCTACGAAGCAAATGAGGATATCGCTCATTACTCAATACAATATTTTATTCGGTAACAGAATAATTGAATAACTCATTCGAAGATTCTTAACCTAACCTTAGTTTTGGTTAATTATAATGTAACAGTACCCTTTTAGCACGAATCAATATCGAATTCGAAAAGTTTGCGAGTGCGAAATGTCATTGTCAAATTTGTATGGAAACTTGAACCGCAGCGCCACAACGAACGTAACGAGAATAAAGAGAACTAATAATTATAATCAGTAATCCCTTAGCACGAACCAATATCGAATTCGAATAGTTTGCGAGTGCGAAATGTCATTATCAAATGTGTACTGATTATTAGTAGGTAGTTCTTGAAATTGGCGCTTTCAACCAAACAAACAAACTTTCAGCTTTATTATATTAGAAGACTAGCAGAGCCCTCTGGTTTTACCCCCATTAATTTATTTATCTTATATATAAAATTCTCGTGTCACAATGTTAGTTACCATACTCCTCCGAAACGGCCTGACCGATTTTTATGAAATTTTATATGCATATTCCGTGGATCTGAGCATCGGCTAGTTATCTATATTTCATATCCTTAAGTGATAATGGTTGTCCACCTGTAACGTGATGTTCTGAAACCTACAATGCGCCTTTGCGCCAAAATTCAAACTATTGGGTATTGTAACGTAGTGTTCTCATATGGGTTAGGAGGAATGTTATCCCAGGAAATTGATATAACAGTACGTTACACACCCCTATTAAAAAAAATACAACTCTAAATTTTCTCTTCTACCACCTGCCCCTATTTTTAGCTAGTATACATACATTATATATAAGTTTGAGAAATGTTACATATTTTTTTATATAAATAATATTTTAAATTGGTGTTGATTATCATTCAAATTTATTTGGGGAGGGACATAGCTGAATGATTCATCTATGTTTGGGGACAATAAAGGTTTGAAACTTGGGAGTATTCCGTGCAGTAAAAGATTAAAAAATCTATGTGAAAATTATAACTGTAACTAATCTTGTTGACTCGACTCTGAAACTCTGAATCAATATGGTTGATGACCTAATTTTTTTTATCGTCATGGTTCACAGTATTGTTGTGTATCTGTTGATAAACGAGTGTTTGATATTGATGTAAACTATCAGGGCTTTTGAACTGGATTAAGTTTTATTGATGTTTTATTCAAACGTTTTTAATAGTTTTTGACTTGAATATTGATTCGCGTAGCAAATTGGGAAATACTTTTCCAGCGAACTTCGTACCGCCATAAAAATAGGGGCAGGTGGTAGAAGATTCCTCCTAACCCATATGAGAACACTACGTTTCAATACCCAATAGCTTGAATTTTGGCGCGAAGGCGCATTGTAGGTTTCAGAACACTACGTTACAGGTGGACAACCATTATCACTTAAGTATATGAAAAATAGATAGTAGCCGATTCTCAGACCCACGGAATATGCATATAAAATTTCATAAAAATCGGTCAGGCCGTTTCGGAGGAGTATGGTAACTAACATTGTGACACGAGAATTTTATATATAAGATTTGTTATATTACTAAGTGAAATAAACTTTGGATAATACGGAGATAAGCTTGAAGATCATAGCCCAAATAGAAATGGAAAAATAATTTAATATATTATCTAATAATTTCACTATAAATGGAGTGGTCAGGCGGTGGTGGACCTACAAGGTATAAGGACCGTAGTCCTACTCACCAGAAACAACTCTTCCTGTAAAATAATACACCAATACTTGTTTTGTGTACCAACCTAGTTAATTTTCGAATATTCAGATCTTAACTCTTTATTATTTTTCATAACCAACAGAAGAAATTTTCTTTTCTTTTTCCTGACTGGTGTTGAAATAAGTACGTAATTATTTTATCCCTTTTCCCTTTTAGCTTTGAAGAACATTTCCGGTATTGCGATGACGCCTATAATAATTACAACATATTTTATAAGTTTCCGAATTCCAGATAATATTACAAATATCAAATATTATTCATATAATATTACGTCATTTCTCTAGAATGTCTATGACATATTGAATGATGAGGAAATTATTTTGTTTCAGAAAGCGAACGGTGTCGCCGAGTACGATTCTGAAGCGTGAGCAGAAATGGTTGCGCATGCTCAACAACTGGGAGGCGTTCATGAGCAAGAACTACAAGAAGGTGCGCGAGCGGTGTCGGAAAGGTGAGCATATAACTGAGCAACTTAGTGTATTAGCAAATATGCACACTAGCTTAGCATTAGAGAGACACCGCACCTGTAGGATAAGAGTGCGACAACCCTGGGCGTCCCCCCCCCCCCCCCCATGAGGATACTGCCCCCATATGAAGATCCCAGCCGCCTGGAATACCTTTAGAGGCACTCGCCAATTCTCGGCTTGAGGTCCTTTTAAGGTTTCGCCGTTCCCAAACCTGGTGACTTTGTAAATGTAATCTGCGACTAACAGCTTACATACTAAAAAAGGGGTAACCCAACCTAAAAACACAAACGTACCTTTAAACACAGGAATACCAGCGTCAGTGCGTCCGAAAGCATGGCTATACCTCTGCGGGGGCCAACTCCTGCTGGAGAAGCACCCCAATGAATACGAGGAGTTGCTGCAAGCGCCTGGAGACCCCAAGTGCATGGACGACATCAGGAAGGACCTGCACCGCCAGTTCCCCTACCACGAGATGTTCATCAGGGAGGAGGGAGTTGGGTGAGTGGGACATAAATATGTAGTTGCAAACAAAGCATTAATTGGATGATACCGGCACAACACTTGGCTATTCGTATTTGCTATTTGTAAAGTTAACAACAGGCTGTCCTTATCATGCTTTATAAGGAATGGGGGCCTCCGCTCCTCTGTTGCCCCGAGGCCTCTGGACCTCTAGCATGACCACCAAACGGGATATGATAAAGCGATATATCGACATTAACTGTCAGACTACTGTCAAACTCCATAGTAGTCTGACAGTTAATGTCGATATATCGCTTTATCATATCCCTTTTCGGTGGTCATGCTAGAGGGGCTGGACCTCTAAATCCGGCCCTGTGAATATCTATCAATAAAAAATATGATCGAGTCTACACTATTTATTATAATTAGCCTTTCCTTGAGTTCTTCCGTATCATTTATTTAATAAGTAATTTAACATTTCACTAAAACACTTATGTTGTGTAATATTTACGTGAATATTAAAAACAGCCTTGAAAACTCATACCACTTGTTTCATCGAGCGAAAGTGAAACAAAATTATAGAATTTCCGATGACGAACTAAAATTCGTGGTAATGGAGATATGATATTAACGATTACGAAGTGGGCCCAAGCTCACAATTCGAATGATTCGAAAACAAACAGTCTGTCATAGTCACGAATCGCTAGTCCCTGTATGGTAGCCATTAAATTTTAGTGCTTAATTGCTTACGTCAAACGTCAGTCATAAAACAAGATTTCCAATTTATTTTAAAGATGGTTCAGTGACGCACTCATCTACCCATCACCAGGAAAATTTAATTACAAATTTCCTTCCCTTTTGATTCAGTGGGTAAATTTAGAAGAATAATCTTTTAATTTTACTTTTGGAAGGTAATAACAATATATACTTATATATATATATATCCGCTCTGGAAAATTTGGATGGTAAGATTTCACAACTATTTCTTATTTTTCTAGAAGTTACATTAAAAAAATCCAAAGATTAACAAATTTTTATCACTACTAAAGACGTCCATTGTGGAGATTTAATAAGCATTTACAAAAAAAGCAAAACAAAAAAGTATAAGTATTTTTTATTGTATGGGTCAAATTTCTTTTATCTACCTATATGTATTTTTCGAAAAGGAAATCGCCGAGAGCCAAACCTCGAATATCGCAATTTTTATACGCAATTTTCAGCGTTAACTACTGTTGTCCCTATAGCACAGTATTGCCAATGCAATAGATTGAATTGTGTCAGCAATATTTTTTTAAATACCTATTTCTCAAATGCCTCTCAGCTCGCGTCCGCTCTTGAGGAGGCATAGGGTGTATTCCGAAATGTACATCAGTATACTGGCGAGTGGTAATGACGTCACGAATCCGACGCCATATTGTACTGGTATGCTACCATATTTTTACCGGGAAAACGAATATGACGTATGACCGAGCGTGCGTGAGATGCATTCGAATTTTATTTCTTTTTTATTTAAAGAACAATAATGGCATCCGAACAAAAAGAATTCCTTTTAATTGATGAGGTGAATAAAAATCTTCTTTCATCCGAACAAAAAGAATTCCTTTTAATTGATGAGGTGAATAAAAAATCTTCTTTATTCGCACTATTTTTAATATTTCGTCGATTTATGACGTCAAAGCACTGGCCAATATACTTCGGAACAATTCACCAGTATAGCGTCGATCCATGACGTCATTAGCACTGGCCAGTATACTGGTATATATTACGGAATAGACTCATAGTCTAGAAGCCTGATGATGAATGGAAGGTTTTGTTGCAGTCAACAGGAGTTGTTCTCGGTCCTGAAAGCGTACTCGGTGCTCAACCCCAAGGTGGGGTACTTCCAGGCGCAGGCGCCGGTGGCGGCGTTCCTATTGATGCATATGCCCGCCGTGCAGGCCTTCTGGTGCCTGGTCAGCATCAGTGACAAGTACCTGAGCGGGTACTACAACCCTGGACTGGAGGTGTGTATGACTTCTACCTAGGATCATGTACATTTTCTTAATAATACAATAAGTTAAATATTAAATTCCTTCAGAAGCATTATACAACTCTTCTGAATCGTCAAAATTTTCCCTACCACTTGTTATGGACAATTATTAGTTGTTGAGAAAAAAAGGGGAAGAAACTACACAGCTTCAAATATTGTAACAATTTTTACAAAATTAATAATTAAATCTAAAGAAAAGTTTAGTAGAAAAAAATCCGCGCGGTCCAGACAGCAGACTGGACTCGAACCCGCACCCTTCGCAACCCGAGCGAATGCACTGACCGTTATGCTACCGCGGTCCTGACGGAAAATAAAAACAATAACAAATATTATATTGAATATAAATAGAAAAAATTCCACGCGGACCAGGCAGCAGACGGGACTCGAACCCGCACCCTTCGCAATCTGGGCGAATGCACTGACCAATTATGCTACCGCGGCCCTCACGGACCGCGTCGAAATTCTTCTAGCCATTCTTAAGCTGCAAGGCAGCGCCATCTCTTCGCTTTATAGGCAACCCACAATGTCAAATGAATACTTTTACAAGTATTAAACATTTGAAAGAAGAAATAGCAATTACGGTTATAATTTTTATTATTTTTAAAGCATGTAACTGCATTTTCTTTAGATTTAAACATCAAGCAGTTACATGCTTTAAAAATAATAAATATTATATTGTTATAGTGTCAGTACAAAATCAATACGATAAACTCATTCAACTTCAATATCGTCGACTAGCATTTTGATTGCTGTGTCAACACACTAATGTTATAAAATTTTATTGTTTGACATTGAGATTATTATATTGTTTGACATTGAGATTATTATATTGTTTGACAATGATAATGTGAATTTGTATATATTATGCTCAATGAATGGAATGTAATAAGTTTTTTTTCTCGACATGTCAATTAATTTGCACACCCCATTGGGTAAGAATATAGGATTCTCTTTATCTCTGTATCACCATACAAATGGTAAAGAGCATCCAAGGTTACAATAACCATATTCTGCAAATAAAGATTATTATTATTATTATTAAAGGCGAAAGTTTGTGAGTGTGTAAGTGTGTATGTTTGTTACTTCTTCATTTCTAAACGCCTGGAGCTATTTGAATAAAATTTGGTAATGATTTAACTGAAACCCTTGATTAACACATACCACACGGGCCACAGCTTGTACAGTATAAATAGCTAGTGTTCCGAACAGTATTGACAAGAGATCAGAAATTATCTTCGCTAACTAACTCTTTAATAATAAATAATACAGGCTTTCTGGTATCCCATTAGCACCAGCTAAAAGTTTATGAGTGTATATTTGAACCTTAGTCTGAAAGTGTTTTTTTTAATCATATATTTTACACACGAACTTTGACGAAAACCATCTAGTAAATGGTGCTTCATCACCATTTAATTTGGATTTGTAAACAGCTGATGTTTTTATCTACCAACTATGTATGTATGTATGTATATGTTTCAATTCAGCTTCAAAATTTGTCGCAAACGTTTGCAACAGTCTAACTAGACTGAAGATATGTCTTAAAAGCTTTGGTGAGCGTGTGAATTTATTAATAACATCATTGATAGAAAATACAATTAGTACTTACACGAGCTACAAATCACAGAAAAAAATCTCACTAACTTTATAACCTACTAGCGGCCCGCCCTCGCTTCGCTTCGGTGTAGAGCTGAAGTGTAGACTACAGTTTTTGTTCTCAGGCTTGTATTATACGCAATAACATTCATCTATGATTCTTCTTATACCTGCATGCAAAGTCTCAGCCCGATCGGTTTAAAATTGACAAAGTTTCATACAAACTTTCATTCCCTATTTTATCAATTTGGGGGTAGAATTGATCAAAATACTTTCTTAGCGGATGCCTACGTCATAACATCTACCTGCATGCCAAATTTCAGCCCGATCCGTCCAGTGGTTTGGGCTATGCGTTGATAGATCACTATATCAGTCAGTCACCTTTGAGTTTTATATATATAGAAAATATATATAGATATCTGTAGTCGCGTGGCAGGTAGCGGACTTCTCGATATTTATAAAATGAAATGTTCGTTATATTTTTGAAGTGAAACTTCTTTATCGGCGTTGGAAAAAAATTTACCGTCACATTTTTCGGTTACGCGTCACATTTTTCCGTTACGCGCCATCTTTTTTTATATTAATAGTTGATAGCTGAATGATCACACTGTCGCCGGCGAGAACTCTCTTTACTCGTTTGTAGCTGAGTGACAATAGTTATTAAAGATAAGACTCGCTCAGCCAAACTCGCATAGCGATACTCGCTCAGCGATACTCGCTCAGCGGTACTCGCTCAGCGATACTCGCTCAGCGATACTCGCTCAGCGATACTCGCTCAGCGATACTCGCTCAGCGATACGCGCTCAGCGATACTCGCCCAGCGATACTCGCCCAGCGATACTCGCCCAGCGATACTCACTCAGCGATACTCGCTCATTTAAGCTGGCTTGGCTGTCAAAAGCCGTGCGCGTGCATTTTAACTCAGGACTGCCAATTCGTTTCTAGTTTCTACTCGCTTATCGTTCATCGTCGGAGGTGGAACATGTGCCTTAGATTACTGAGCCGTGTAATCATAACAGTTTCATAGGCAGTAATTTGTATTCATGTCTATGATAATAAAATCCTTTTGTTTAAACTTTATCTAATTTAACTTTATTTAACCAATTTCTGGAAAGTTGCATGTAGATCATTTTTCGAAAAATAAGGCCATAAAGAAGTTTCACTTCTTACGTGTGTACACTAGTACACGCACACATTTTTTTTAAGCATGTAACTGCTGCTAACTCGATGTTTCGCTGCCTGGTCCGCGTAATTTTTTTCTAGTAATATTTTCTTTAGATGAAATGTTCGCTTCATTTCCTCGTCAGGTCCTCCAACGTGACGGCGACATCCTACACGCGTTGCTCCGTCGCACCGCGCCCGCAGTCCACCGACACCTCAGCAAACACAAAGTGGAGCCCGTGCTGTACGCCACCGAGTGGTTCCTGTGTGCGCTGACCAGGACCCTGCCCTGGGACAGTCTGCTGCGCGTGTGGGACTGCTTCCTGTGCGAGGGCGTCAAGGTATACAGTGTGTGTCGAGGGACCCGGGGTTCCATCACCGGGACCCTGCCCCGGGACAGTCTGCTGCGCGTGTGGGACTGCTTCCTGTGCGAGGGCGTCAAGGTATACAGTGTGTGTCGAGGGACCCGGGGTCCCATCACCGGGACCCTGCCCTGGGACAGTCTGCTGCGCGTGTGGGACTGCTTCCTGTGCGAGGGAGTCACGGTATACAGTGTGTGTGTCGTGGGACCCGGGGTCCCTTCACCGGACCCTGCCCTGGGACAGTCTGCTGAGCGTGTGGGACAGCTTCCTGTGCGAGGGCATCAAGGTATACAGTGTGTGTGTAGAGGGACCCGGGGTTCCATCACCGGGACCCTGCCCTGGGACAGTCTGCTGCGCGTGTGGGGCTGCTACCTGTGCGAGGGAGTCACGGTATACAGTGTGTGTGTAGAGGGACCCGGGGTCCCATCACCGGGACCCTGCCCTGGGACAGTCTGCTGCGCGTGTGGGGCTGCTTCCTGTGCGAGGGCGTCAAAGTATACAGTGTGTGTCGAGGGACCCACGGTCCCATCACCGGGACCCTGCCCTGGGACGGTCTCATGTATACAACCTCCGTAAATACATTTTTTCAGCAAATGTGTTGAAATAATTGTTACAACTATTAGTAATAGTAACATGTATAAAACCTCCGTAAATACATTTTTTAAGCAAATGTGTTGAAATATTTTTTACAACTATTAGTAATAGTAACATATATACAACCTGCGTAAATACATTTTTTTAGCAAATGTGTTGAAATAATTGTTTCAACTATTAGTAGTAGTAAAAAACAAACCGATTCAAGTCCCTCATTATTCCAGGTACTCTTCAAGGCGGCGTTGGTGATATTAGCGGGCGCGCTAGGTCCAGCGAAGGTCCGTAAGCGCGCGAGCGGATTATGCGAAACTTTAGAGGTTAATACTATTACCAATCTTACTTTTATCTATAATAATAAAATAATTAAAGATTAAAAATAAAATTGAGTGCACAGATCACACATCTGAAGTGAAACTTTCTTTTTTGAAGTGATACTTGTTATGGGGAGGGTAAACCGCTTCGTTACGTAACGCGTTACGGCGCCAGTCTGGCTTTCCTTCCTCTCTAATACCTTTATATGAAGTTATCACTACTGTCGTGCGTCCCGGGTCGCACACGCTTTTTTTTCTAGTAATATTTTCTTGTTATTTATAATTAATGTTTAAAATACAAAATAAAATTCAACACTCAGGTATTACGGCACCCGCCCGAAGGCGTATTAGGTGAAGAGTACCTCATGTACCACATGCAGCGGCTCAACCTCACGGAGGAGGACTTTGAGTTCGAGCACCAGCGGCAGACCGCGCGCCGGCGGGCCATGCCTAACCGGAGGTCAGTATATCATACTACACCACACTACTACGGCACACTACACTCTATACTATGACTCCGAGTTCGAGCACCAGCGGCAGACCGCGCGCCGGCGGGCCATGCCTAACCGGAGGTCAGTATATCATACTACACCACACTACTACGGCACACTACACTCTATACTATGACTCCGAGTTCGAGCACCAGCGGCAGACCGCGCGCCGGCGGGCCATGCCTAACCGGAGGTCAGTATATCATACTACACCACACTACTACGGCACACTACACTCTATACTATGACTCCGAGTTCGAGCACCAGCGGCAGACCGCGCGCCGGCGGGCCATGCCTAACCGGAGGTCAGTATATCATACTACACCACACTACTACGGCACACTACACTCTATACTATGACTCCGAGTTCGAGCACCAGCGGCAGACCGCGCGCCGGCGGGCCATGCCTAACCGGAGGTCAGTATATCATACTACACCACACTACTACGGCACACTACACTCTATACTATGACTCCGAGTTCGAGCACCAGCGGCAGACCGCGCGCCGGCGGGCCATGCCTAACCGGAGGTCAGTATATCATACTACACCACACTACTACGGCACACTACACTCTATACTATGACTCCGAGTTCGAGCACCAGCGGCAGACCGCGCGCCGGCGGGCCATGCCTAACCGGAGGTCAGTATATCATACTACACCACACTACTACGGCACACTACACTCTATACTATGACTCCGAGTTCGAGCACCAGCGGCAGACCGCGCGCCGGCGGGCCATGCCTAACCGGAGGTCAGTATATCATACTACACCACACTACTACGGCACACTACACTCTATACTATGACTCCGAGTTCGAGCACCAGCGGCAGACCGCGCGCCGGCGGGCCATGCCTAACCGGAGGTCAGTATATCATACTACACCACACTACTACGGCACACTACACTCTATACTATGACTCCGAGTTCGAGCACCAGCGGCAGACCGCGCGCCGGCGGGCCATGCCTAACCGGAGGTCAGTATATCATACTACACCACACTACTACGGCACACTACACTCTATACTATGACTCCGAGTTCGAGCACCAGCGGCAGACCGCGCGCCGGCGGGCCATGCCTAACCGGAGGTCAGTATATCATACTACACCACACTACTACGGCACACTACACTCTATACTATGACTCCGAGTTCGAGCACCAGCGGCAGACCGCGCGCCGGCGGGCCATGCCTAACCGGAGGTCAGTATATCATACTACACCACACTACTACGGCACACTACACTCTATACTATGACTCCGAGTTCGAGCACCAGCGGCAGACCGCGCGCCGGCGGGCCATGCCTAACCGGAGGTCAGTATATCATACTACACCACACTACTACGGCACACTACACTCTATACTATGACACACTACACTCGATACTAACCCACACTATACTATTACACACGTACTCTATGCTAATCCACACTATACTACGACACACTACACTCTATACTGTGACTTACTACTCCAATACTTCCCCACACTACACTCCACACTATAGTGTGGAGTAGTATAGAGGGTAATGTGTAGTATACTACACACTACACTCTTTACTGGCCCCACACTATACTACGACACATTACACTTTACTACCCAGCACGATACTGCATAACACTAACTCTATACTGACCCCACACTATACTGCGACACCCTACACTCTACCATCCCACACTATAACTTTCAAGATAGTTTAAAACAAAATAGATTGGAACAATGGCTTTTATTTGTATATTTAATTATAAATTGATTGAACATATTTAAGAAATCTAACTTGCAATCGACATAGTGGTCTTTTAAGCGATTTTCACGTTTTCATTGCAAACACACCTTTATACGTAACATTTCAAAATTGTCTTTCCAGTGGCAGCTGATTCAGTGACTGCTCGTACAAGCGTTATTCGAAGAATAGCGCGCGGGACATATTCCACACCCTATGAGTACGTGCAATAAATGACTGTTTCAAGCTAATGTGTACCTAAAGTGATATGTGATACGGACGCGAACCGCGTGACCGAACGACCAATACGACTGACGAGTGTTAGCTAGATTAGTTAAGTGTGGAAGCGAATCTACTCTGTTGTCCGATAGATAAAAAAATATCAAAAAAATGCCTTTATTTTCCTTTTAAAATGGGAAGAAAGTTGATTTTAAATGTTCTTTTTGTAAAATTATCACAATGAAAATCTTACAATTTTATTGAAAATTTGTTTTTTTTTTGTTTAAAGAAAAATCTACTAGAAATAAATCTTTAAGGGGCCCATATACGGAACGATTGATCTGTACGATCCGTCGTTTCAGACCAATCGAAACGATGGATCGACAGTGTATGTCAAGATCGTTAACGATTTACTTAATCGCAGACGATATCGGAGATCGCAACAAAAACCCATGCAATCATGAATATCGTAAACGATCGATCGTCAGTGTCCCATATACGGTACGATCCGTCGTTTCAGACCGATCGAAATGATGGATCGACAGTGTATGTCAAGATCGTTAACGATTTACTTAATCGAAGACGATATCGCAATCGCAACCAAATCCCATGCAATCATGAATATCGTAAACGATCGATCGACAGTGTTTCGTGTATGTAGTGGCATTTCTGAACGATCGATCGTTGACGATTTCCTTCAGATCAATCGCAACGACGAATCGTTCCGTATATGGGGCCCTTTATGGCAAGGTATCAAGCTAGATGTTCGAACCCATTGTATTTTAATTACCTGTTATAATAATACGACACTGTTTTATAGCTATAAAGGTGTCGATTCTGACATGTTTCTCTGAACCTAAACTTTAATTTGACAAAAGTGTGTCCTTGTCATTCTCTATAGAGAATGAAAAGGAGAGACCGATGTTAAATTTAGTTTTAAGTTTAGAGAATCACGCCAGAATCGACACCATTGTCATCTAACTTCTTATGTAAAAGATACAAACCTCATGAATATTAAATCATAGATATGTTGTAACGTATTCTTTCTTCTCATACATAATATCTCAATTTTGGTAAATCGGAAAGAGACAGCAGAAAGATTCGCGCCCTCGCAATGAAATAATCGTTAAAATAGAAATAGTTTGAAGAGAGACGATTTTCATATCAATCTATTGGAGAATGTTTATTATAATTTTTTGTGTAATTATTATATTAATGTATAACGTCATACATAATTCTCTCGATTAATGTAAGAGATGAGTTTATGTACATCGAAGAGAGACAGTGATGTTAAAAAAATATATAGCTGTCAGCTTGCTCGCATTGAAAATATTAATGATTTTGGTGACAATTTTAATTGTGTTCGACAAACTTATATTGTTTCCCCCCCATAAGTGCACACATTAAATATCAAAATGAAAATTTAGTATTACTAAGACATTACCATAAACTATAGTAAAGTAGCTAGATGAAATTGTGCAATGTTCATGTTGTCCGCATAATAATTTGTCTATGGTATAAGCACAGATTAAGGATATTCATATATCATACAGACTCAGAACAAGAACTAAAACATGGAAATAGTTTAAATTCAACTCACAAAGTCGACTTATATAGTTATCTTATTTTAACATATGGACCAAAAAAAGAGGCAAATATATTTATGTTGATATGAACAGTCTGACGTCTACGAACAGTCTACGAATTCGAATAGTTTGCAAACCGAAATGTCAATGTCAAATTTTGTATGGAAACTTGAACAGCAGCGGCAAAGAGTACGTAACAAGAACTAAAAATCAGTACACATTTGACAATGACATTTCGGACTCGCAAACGATACGAATTCGATATTGGTTCGTGCTAGGGGTACAGTTGTTGTTTCGAATGCCTTGTAATACCTTGGTTACCTTAACGTGGTGAATCGAAAGTGATCTAATGTCAAGCGGAACCTGCTAAAAATACTTTTTGGTAGAGTAAAACTTTTTTTTTTTTTTTTTTAATATTTTATTAAAAAAAAACACATGGGCCAGGCAGCAGTCGGGATTCAAACCCGCACCATTTTCTAATGTGGATTTTTTTGTAGTAAAATATTCTTTAGATTTGAGCAACTAGCAGTTCTTCATGCCTCCCTCTTACAACCTGGGATCCTTTAAAAGAGGCGTGAAGAAGCAACATGCAGGCCGGCAGGGTGAGGATGGCTGGTGTGGCAGGTAGAACTGCTGTATCAGCTAACTTCGCGTCTGGACTTCACCTTCACTTAACATCAGGTGGGGTGGAGTCATATGTCGGATTCTATCTATAAAAAAAAAGTTATATGAATAAAATTAATATAACTATAATTTCTATTCTCCTTTCAAATTTTTAAAATACTTGTGAAGGTATTCATTTGACACTTTGGGTTACCTACAATGCGAAGAGATGGTGCTGCCTAGCAGCCTAAAAATGCTAGAGAAAATTCGGCCTGGGCCGCGGCAGCATAATGGTCAGTGCATTCGTCCGGATAGCGAAGGTTTAGAGTTTAGGTAATACTTTCTTTGGGGTATATTTTGTCTATGGGAGTGCTCAAACGTCTTAGCAATACTTCTATGTTTTGGTTCTTTTTCTTAGCACGTACCAATATCGAATTCGTAACGTTTTCGAGACCGAAGTGTCATTGTCAAACGTGTACTGATTTTAAGTTCCCTTTACGTACTTTGTGGCGCTGCAAGTTTTCATACAAAATTTGACATTGACATTTCGCAGTCGCAAACTATTCCAATTCGATAATAATGGTTCGTGCTAGGAGTACTGAGCATACAGAGGTCCAACGAAAACACAGAGCGATCATGCAATAACGTACTGCACGCTACAACTTCTTTCAATAATAGGATATTTGACAAATTTAAAAAAAACGATCTCATGTTATTTACTAATGTTTATGGAGTCCATAAAAAGTAATTATTCATCATTCTGTTGCATATTTAAGTAAAAAAAAACAACAAAAATACCATTTTAAAGGTGCCGCGAAACCGTTTCTCTGGTCACTATGGCGTTTCACTGCTATGTGACACGACTGATGTCACTTTGACCGGAAGTTGACTAACGTGTGACGTAATTTAGTTTCCACCAATCCCAGGCGACCATAGAGCTAAAAATATTTTTTTATTTAATGATTTTCTAGAAAAGTTATTATTTATTTGTTCACCCCGAATAGTAAAATCGCTGCTAATATTCATATTAAATACAGATGCCAACAATTGGTAGTTTATTTTTGTGAAACTTCACGCACTCTTCACTTGGGGAGTAAGCGAGCGAACGCTTTACGAAAAGTGTGATCAGGCGAGGCGAACGGGAGTTAAGTTGGGGATATAAGCAAGAGAGCAGTGCGCGCGCACATTTTCTCTCTCTCTTTCTCTTATAGCTAGTAAATGAAATATGTATATGTACATACATGTATATATTGTACACACATATATCCTGTACAGTTATTTTTAATGATTAATAAAAATATCGATCATTTTAGGACACGTCACTAGTTCGAGGATCATTAAAAATAACTGTTTTATAAAAAGTTAAAACTTCATGCAAATATTTTAAGAAAATTAGAGAAGTCTCCTTATATGATGTACTTTAACGCCCTTCAAGCTTTATTTGTATTTTTGTAACACCCTGTATATATATACGTACAAATGGAGCTAAAGAAGTTTCACTTCAGTCGTATAAGCACAGTCGTTTTTTTTATACTGTCAAATATCCTATGTGTTTTTCAATATTAGTACAAAAGTTAAATAAATATACAATACAAGTAATGGTAGTGTGTGCCTGTTAAAAAATCTCTTTTTGTTTTTGTATATGACTAAATAGATATTTGTTACTTTATGTTACCATATTAATGATATGCGTCAGTATTGAAGTATTACGAATAATGTGTAACGCTATAATAATAAGTACCTTTGTATTTATGATTGTTGGTCACTTGCGAGAAAGACAAGGCGAAACTAACCTCTCAGTATCACTCGTGTTTTAGATATAAGTCAGTGCCAAAAAGCACATACAAAAATTTGCTCGCGAACTAAACTTATTTGGTGCCAAACACTCCGCATTGTAATACCTCCCATTGCTTGCGACAAAGGAGACCCGGCACTTTTCATAGAAAAAATGCTAAACTTGTATACAGTGAATTTGGTCTCAAAATAAAGCCAAAATTATTTGCTACATAAAACTACTTTTGCCTTATTTTTAGTGAATCGTGGAAAGAAGTTATTTAATGATTAATATTTTTTGATATAGAAACCCTTTTGATGACAAACCTACTTAATTGACATTGACAGCTAGCTGCTGATGACAAATATTGCCAGACTATGTTACCCAATTATGAAAAACAGATAAAAAAAATAAAAAAGTATACAACTTCGGCACAAAATACCGGGTGTCCTTTATAATGATGTATGATTGAGGCAGATAGATTTTCGGTTCTACTTAAATATTAATTCATATGATCACATTAAAATACATCTTTAATAAATTTTAAAATAGTTTAAAATTATTATTATCAAATAACAATAACATTTTTTCCGTCTTCAATTGCATAAGAAACCATGTTTATGGGCGTTTAAAGTTAGTTAATCTGGTTACGGTCTGCTCCTTCACCAGGTGTCTTTATTGATATGAACTTTTTATTAATTTGTTGCACCCGTTATAAAGATAAAAATCATACACAATGTCAACGCTAATATTTAATATTATGAAGTTCAGCTTGCTGAATTCATGAAATTATATTCATAATTTTAATGAAAATGGTATCCATCGATCGCCGTTATTCTGAAATATAAGAAAAACCTTTTTGCCTGATCTTAAGTTCAGTTATCGCTTAAGAGCCCTTTCACATTTTTTGCAAAAAATCGTAATTTTTGAGCGCCTCGTTGACCCTCGTAGAAAAGATTTTGACTGTTTCCAATAAAAGTAAACAGTAGATTTATTCTTCCTTTTGTAAGATAATGTAGAATATTTGCAAATACTATTTTCCTTTTTTTGTACTGATCGTTCTACTGCAGCTAGTTTACGGAAAAAACGATAATATGCACAACTTCAAACTCCTCAATCTCTCAATAATGTTTAATAAATTAGTTACTACGACATTAGAAATATGTTTTTTGTTGTAACATAATGTATTAGAATTTTGACTTTCTATCTCATTAATTATCAAAAAAAAACATCTAACCTCCGTGAGTTTTCCCAAAAAATAATACAGGTTTACCTCGTATTTTGATATTCTACTAATTACTATCAAAAACTTTCATAAAACTTATCTACCATCATTGAACTACTGAAATATGTCTATATTTTTATAATTAGTTCATTATTAAATATTTTATAAGACTCGAAACATCACCCGTAAAATGCAATATATACTAGTGCAAATCTACCTACGCGC